TATAGAAGTAACTTGTCAGCAATTAGGATACCGCGCTAGACAAACACAAATTTCAGCAAGAGCGATTTTCTTGAATGGCTTCACTGTTTAATACTGTAATGCACCTTCTGACGGTGTATCTTATTATAGGAACTTAGCGCGAATTTCAAAACTGCGTTAATTTAAGTCGCGTTGATTTATTATAATGTTAATTTCAGTTATTTGGACGGTATTCGTTGCAGTTGGATAATAAAAACTTTTATGATAGAATGTTCACGTACGAAATGACCATCAGCTCCTCTATAGGGTGGTCGGTAGGCTTAGACAAGGTTTAAGAATTCATTCAACAGATCTCCTGCTTGGTTAATAACAGTAATAAGAGCTAAGTACTATATTTTAAAAGTTTTAATATGCCTCTCACCGCCTGTTTGTATCCTTGTGGTTTTCAGCGCGTCCTCCATCTTTTTGACGTTATAAATCGGGTATTTTGCACAAAAATTGGCCAGCTCATTACTGAGTGAAGACCGATCAGTTACTTCACTGCTCACTGTCCACGTGTGGTCAGTAATTCTAATCTCGCTGATATTTTTGCCAGACTTCTGCAAAATTGAGCATAGACATCAGAACCTCCTGATAACATTTAAACAGCCTTTCATGGTGAGTGATAGGATGGCTGTTTTTCACAGGATCTTAAAGCAGAAGAGCGTCCTTAACAATCGATTAGTAAAAAATTCAATAGTTTGCATGTTCTCACCTTTGCTTTATCAAGATCACTTAAGAGTTTTCTTGGTGTCGACAGGTCTTTGTCCAGGGGCAAAAGGTAGCAGATCCTTTTTTCTGGTAACAACAGCAAGCTCATATTCTGTGATGATGAAAAAGAAATCGTTTTTCAAACAGATGAGTCGAGTGGTGAAGTTCTTCTGGATTCTGGTCTCGTCGGCACGCTGAAGCCGATATCTGAGGGCACCATGAAAAATTCCCTCCAAATCTAGGCTATGTTCACAATTGGTGTCCGAGCACGATTTTCACTGGGCACTAATGTGAACACACCTTATTTTTCCAAGTGCTCACACCAGAATTTGTAGTCGGGCACTAACTGGTACTTGGGTTTCTGGACGGTCCCGAGTGTCTGATCGCAACACTATTTTGTATCGGTGCTCTGGCAAGGGCTTCAAGTGTTAACACAGCCTCAGTCATGCAGGCCCACTCCGTGTAGCAAGCATAGAAACACAAGGGAGAACTGGAATTCTATCTCGAAACGCGCGTTTTTTGCACGTTACAGCGTCAATTTCAGAGAGATTTTTCATTTGAGCTAATTTACAAGCTATAATTTGTCGTACGATTTTTTGGCTTCGCAGTTAAGGTGGTTCAAAACAGTAATATTTCCGTGAGACGCCTGGGCTCTAGCGCGCACTTCAGCGCGAGGCTTCACGCGATAACCCGAGAGTTCGCCCGCAGATAGCGCGCGAGGTTTAAAGTTTACAAAAATCAAAACAAACATGGCGGCGCGAGGCCTACTTCGTAAAACTTTGTTTCCGCCAAGTTTAGTAAGCTGTTTGTGTTACCAGTTATTTTTAACTTCGAAAACATTCATCCTTCAGGCAATTTCAAAGGAAAACATCCCTTTAAACCGCTGTTCTGGAACGTAACCGAAAATTGTGATGTTGATGTTGCGATCGATCGCGCCGGCTATCAATCTAAAAAACAGCAGGAAAAAATCTACTCTTCAGGTTTTCTTCGTTCTTTGTACTTGGCTGGTCTCACCTCCGGGTATTTATGGTACTCTTCTTTTACCGCTTATGCAGCTAGCGACAACAGCGAAAAAGAAAACACTACTCAATTTTTCAAATTCGTCGCTTGTAATCCGTGTTAATCTTCTCCATCCATCCTTGTAAAAAAAACTGTGGAGTGGAATTTGTCCAACTTGGAAATTTCCATTTTTCTTAATTTAAGAAAAATCCACTCCACAGAATTTTTTATAACTTTGCCTGTTTCTTCTTCTGTGTGTCACAAAAAGATATTTATAAAAAAACATGGGGTCACCGGCTTAGTTTTTAAGATAAATACAATTGATGGTAAAAAGTGGGTCAAGTTTGCTGCTATGCAATAGCGCAGTGCAACCTTAATTTATGACTTAAACACAATGAAAGACACAGTGGAGAGTTACCTTGAAAAATAGCACAGCCATTCAAAATAGTACAGTTCCAAGCCTGAAAAATCGCACCTAGTTCTTAAAGTCTCAAAAAAAAAACAACAGAAAACTGTTTTGAGCCACCTTAAATCTCGCCATAATTCGAATTTCGACTCGGTTATTTCGAATTCAGAGCCATCACCTCTGAATTATCTCTTGGTTTCGTTTCTTTTCTTTTTTCGTTTGTTTGTTTGTTTTTTTTTTTGCTGTCGATTATTTGGAACTCGGTTATTTGGAACTTCTTGCTATTTCTGAACAATTTTTTTGTTTCTCTTGGCCTAACATCAAGCCCGTATAATTCGAACTCCGCTGACAGGGATGAAAAATTAACATCATGACGATTTCAGACCACTATATCAGAATACAGCTGTAATTGATAAGGGGGTGAACACTAATGGGTTTCTGGTCACCAATTTTTAAACAATAAAGCAGGCCTTTAATTAAAAGCCGCTAAGAACCATTTCAACAAAGCGACTATCTAATGAAGTGGCGCTAAACTATATATGAAATTTAAGATATTGACAACCAATACTACGGTTTTTTGGTAATTTAAAGTCATTTTCGCGGGCAAAAAGTACAGTTTAGTAAAATTGGTTTGTAGTCGCTTGCTGGAAAGGGCGAAGTTTGTGGTTCTCTTCCATTACTTTAAGAAAGAAAATTTGATGATCAAACAATATAACCGAGGTGGATTCACGATTTACTGAAGAGGTTGCCAACTTGCAGGGAAGAGGGTTTGAGTTACCAGCCGCCAAGTAAGGAGTAATTCATGATCAACATTTCCGTATATTCTTACTCCTATTTGGGCTTTTTTTTGAAGTTACCAGGCATACCTTCTTAAAATCGTGCAAAATATTGAAGTGATCCACGTTTCCATGGGCAGGAACTTTAAACAGTTCTGTTTGCTTCTCTGTGTCCACCTCGATCGTCTCGTTGTATTGTTCTCCAGACTCCCTCATTTGAACGTTATAATCCACCACCTAAGATATGCAGTGAATAACATCACATGATTTAGCAGTTCATAGTTTCATTATAAAGGAAGAGGCTGAAAGACGCTGGACTGCTTGAAAAACCAACCAAGACAGAAGTGTCAAGAAAAAACAACAAATAACCTTCTGTTCTCGCATGTCATTTCAGTGCATGCATGGTTAGCCTGATTTGCAGGCGTAAACGAGGAAGGGGTGGGGAGGGAAAAAACGCCTTCTCCTTCTATCCCCGCGTTCGTTCTCCCTTCCCCTCTCCCCCCGTTTTATGACTGCTACATAGTACAATGGACCTTTTTACCAATACG